CAGGTACTATTTAAGCAGGAAAAGCGGAGTCTAAAAATGATGAAAATTTTCACAGAGTCACTTTTTCTTTAACAATATCAGTGAAACTGTCAACAACTAATTTTAACGAACACAAACCGCTATGATTGGCAAGTAGACCAGCGATCGTATGCATATGACCCAAATAAGCAGCGGTGTTGTTGAGATCAGTCGGTGGCAGGATAAAGTCATGGCGCAAAGCATCAATAAGAATGATGACAGCTCGATCGTACTGAGCCGGAAGCCAGCAGGCCCCACGTGGAGTGGCTACGTCGGAACACGAGCTACGAGACGAGAGTTCAACCCGTTTCAAAAGAAAACCACGTTGAAAGAGCAATAACGAGATAGCAAGTGAGATGCCAAGAAATGCTGTGTTGATTAAATGCGCCTGAAATTTGCATTTTAACAAGAAATATACTAAAAGAAAAATCGAGAAATGCTGAGGTTTTCGGTATACCAGGAAAAATAAGCAAATTTTTGGGAAAAATAACTTTATCAAAAAAAGCAAAGCGAATTTTTACAAAAAGAAAAACTCATAACAAAAATGGGCCAAAAAAAAACAAAAAATTTGAGAAAAACTGAGATAAAAATTTTAGCAAAAAAAACAGATTTTTCTAAAAAAGAACCCCGGCGAAAAAATTTACTGTTCATCAAAAAAGGTAAATTTTTAGACGATGAAAGTACATACCAAAAAAATTAATTTTTTTCTAAAAAGACGGTTTGGAAGGAGGGGGGAAAGTGAGGCAAATTCGATGTGTTGGCTTACAAATGCGCCAGTCATTTGTTCGAGCTGGAGCATTGTGCTGGATCGGGTACTCGGTCCAGTGGACGCGCATGAAAATGTCGCAGCTCTTGCGGCAAATCTTCAGGATCTGCAGTGAAAAACGGGTTTTTTTGAGAAAAGAAAGAAATTACCCTGATGCGATTCTTCATAATATTTTCAGGGACCAACAGTTCACAACAACAACCGTTTTTGTTGGAAGCAAAACACACTGGCCCAGATGGATTGGTGGATGGATGGGCGAGTGACCTCCATTCCCTCCTTTACCTACAGAAACTTCCAGATAATATCTTCCTCCCGTTGCATCTTACTTGCGTAACTTAACTGCGTTATACTGTAAATTATACGAAAGGAGCCGAGTTGCAACTGAGACGGTTTATTTGAAAGTTTTTTTCCCGAACTGATCAACTCCGTAACTTCAACTAATCAGCGAAAATGGATTTTTCTTGGCCAATTTTTTTACGCCAGCTGCTAAAATATTTTCATAAATTTTTACATAAATTCTTTCATAAATCATAAATTTTTTCATAAATTTCATAAAAGTTTTTATTCCATTTTCATTTCAAGACACCGAAGTGCCCGCAATATACCAGGTATTCATGACTATCAATGACAACTATTTTCACCCTCACCTGATCTGTCGACACTGAGCAAATAACAAAGGGATAACAAATCGAATGCCCTTTTTCATCCTGGCACCTCTCGGTGGGCTGTGTCAAACAATTTGAGGAGCAAAGTTTCCCTCAAGTGAGCCCATCACGATTGTAAAAGCGATAATCTGCTCCAATCAGAGATCACTGCGGAAAAAGTGTTTGGATCAAATTTCGCTGACTTTTCAGTGACACATGCGCTAGTTGACCATTAAGTGTCAGGAAATTGGAGGTGTTGGAAGCGCTCATACAGCAACCATATTTTCGATCGTGCAACGGACTGCCAATGCCTTGGGTTCCGTCTTATTCAGACAGGCCGGCCAATCCGTCTCAGACATTGGTTGCCAAACTGAATCATTGCGCTGGCCCTAAAAACTGAACCCTCGCCCATCATCCAGCAACGAGCACAAAACCGACTACACCATGAAGACAAGCAAAACCAGTACCGAGTGATCCAGAAAACAATGTGCCAGGATTTCGACAGTTGATCACTGGCACTAAAATGTAGATTTAATCTTTCCGTCGGTTATGTAAAAACTTTTGCAGACGGCTGGCAAACAGGAAAAATTACTGC